CCATTCATAATGGGATAATTTGAAATAAAAGTAGAAGCCTTATTTACTCTAATTTTCAAAAACTGCGATTACAATCAGGATGTCTTCAAGATAACGGTGAATATGTTTTTGTTACGCTAAAACAGTGCGATTTACCATCTAGAGTTTCACCGTCGCTTAGCAGCTGGTGGGGTTCTAGTCAAGCACTGGCGTAATATAAGTAAAACCAAACCCCAAGTTAAAACAGTAATTAAGAAAACTCGAATACGAAAAAAGTCTACTGAAAAAAGAAAAATTCAAATACTACTACGTCCTGCATCACTTTCACAACTAAGGCTATTCTAACGCACCACGTATGTTAAAATCCATCAAGCCGTTGCGGATACAGAGCGTGCCAAACAAATAGACATACATACATACATACTCTCGAAAAACATACCCTTCTTCTTGGGCAGTCCGGTAATAAATAAGTAGAAAAATTAATTTTCTTTTATCTTTTTTTTATGCAATTTTTATGTTTTAGTTGGTTTGTGCGACCAGTGATGACCTATGGAACTGAGACGTGGTCCTTCACTGATGGCCGGATGAGGAAGCTCAAGTTCGCTCAGCGAGCTATGGAGAGGGCTATGCTCGGAGTTTCTCTGCGTGATAAACTTAGAAATGAGGATATCCGCAGTAGAATCAGAGTGACCGACATAGCTCAACGGATTAGTAAGCTGAAGTGGCAATGGGCCGGCCATATAGCTTGAAGAACCGACAACCGATGGGGAAGAAAGGTTCTCGAGTGGCAGCCTCGTACCGACAGGCGAAGTGTAGGGCGTACCCCTACTAGATGGAGTGACGACCTGGTAAGACATGCAGGAAGTCGATGGATGCAGGTGGGTCAAGACCGTGCTTTGTGGCATTCCTTGGGGGAAGCCTATGTTTAGCAGTGCACTAGTGAAGGGCTGTAATGATGATGATGATGATGAGTTGGTTTGTCATTTTTTCACGTAGCAACAGAGAAACAGATCGATATGTTTTTTTGCAAAGGGATAGTTTATGGTCCGAAGATTAAAGTAACATAGGCTGCTTTTTATCCCGGAACAATGCATCATTTCTGTGGGATAGATCTAGAGCGTTATTCTTTAATTATCTACATATTATGCTGCCTTAGTAATGAAATAAAGACTAAATATAACTAATATACTTAATAATTTCCTTAACTATTCTTATGATATAAATTAGTACTTTATACGTGATACGTTAACAAACAAACAGACAGACAGACAGAAAAATCTAAAAATGGTAGAAATGTATTTAATTACTTATTTTTAGTACCTCTCAATCACTTTTATTACAAAAATATAAAATGTACAGACATCTGCTATTTTACATTTTTATTATAATACTAGCTTTTAACCCGCGGCTTCGCTCGCGTGCGCTTGAATTTAGGGACATCATTAAATGCTGTTCCGTGTCAAATTTAGAAATATTCGATCACTTTTAGAGTCACCTTGGTGTCTATGTCTCTATGTCTGTCAGAGATTTTTTTCATTCTAAAATACTATTAGACGTAGATGATTGGTAACATGCTACAGAAACACGTGAATATACTTATAATATGTCTAGAAACTTCTACTATTTTTTATATATAGCGTGACTTCCGATTCCGATGTATCCATAAGAAAGGTAAATAGTCTTGAAATCAAAATGTATTATTATTGTTTACATTTTACTCTTTACATATATATATATTCATAGTTAAAGTAAATTTATTGAGGCATTTTATTCATATCATTGGTCCTATTTAATATTGATTGGCACCATAAAAAGATATAGATATTTTTATTTACTTCGAGTAGACTTGGAAATTTCATAAATACAGTTCTATAATAATGAATACCACACATGGATTAAAACTAATGTTACGGGTTTTTTACGCATCTTGACTCCTCACCGAATGAAAGCACCGAAGCTCCGGGAAGTCTAAACTACCAATGATGATTCGCGAGGCTATTGAAATTAAAAATATCCTAATTTTAATAGGGAAGATGGCTGAGTGCTACTATCTGCTAAGGACTCCATGATTAATAAAATTAAATTCAAACTACTACTGCATTTTAACTATTCTATTTTAACTATGACATCAGGTCGTCAAACACCTCAGTTCTCCCACCCCTCCCGTGACCATGGTTGCTGTAAATTGCCCAAACCATCGGAAATTTAAAAAGTTAAAATTAAACGCGATAAAATCCTTAAAATTACTTTTATTCCTTATAAATTTTATACACAGTGAACGTGAGGAACACTACACTCATGAACGGGAATAGAAAAATGTTCGCACTGTTGTGGCGGTGAAAGAAAATCCAACACATCATATCGTCCCCTCGTAAGAGGCGACATAGGAAAAAAATAGTAGATGGGATGATCTGCATCATCTTCTTGACAACAGATCAAAATAATAATAGCTGCGGTTGCCAACCCGCCACTATAGCAAATATCCAGCTACTTGACAATTTATGGGGGAGGCCTAGTTTCATTTCAGTGGACTTTTGATAGGCTGACGATAATGAGTTCTACTCATCTTTGCAAGCCTTAATATTTACGGTAGAGTGAAAACATAAATTATCATACCCGAAAACACGAATGAAATAAAAACTGCATATATTGTCCCATGAAAAGTAAAAAAGCAGCTTACATACATGCTACTACTGGGCACAGGCTGTAGTTTTTGGCCAAAAAAGAGTTCGCTGCACTGATTCCAACGCGGGATGAACGTAATGTAAATGATTCAATTATTTACATCGTGTATTCTGTAGCATTGTATTATTTCATTTTATCAATGACTTGCCATTTTAATTTATTTAGAAGTAAGTAGGTGGCGTTAATATTACATGAAATAATGAAAGCCAAAACTATACCATCTAGTAATATCAGCAATAGAAACGAACATTTATTTATTATAGCAATAAGGGATAAAGTGATATCAATTCTCTTAAAAGTTCTGTTTCTGTTAAAAATAAGCTATCAGCGCCGCTAGCGGTGAAATACGATAATGATATCGTCATAGTCATATGACCATATTATGAAATAGCAACGTTGTGTTTAGTTACTAATAACTTCAAAAGATTTCTATTCATTGATTTGGTCAAGCTATATCATGACACGGTCATCAAATAGTGTTAAATACACATTCATTTCAGTCATTTTTTCAGTGTTTTCACGAAATGATAGACTACTTTATGATATAAGATCAATTCTACGATATAAAATCTCTTTAATAAAACTATGATGATAATGAAAATTTTGCAACAATTGCAGACAGACCAATTTTTATCACTTTACATATATATTAGTAATTGAAATAAATACCTTATCAATTTTCATATTTTTGATAGACGTCACTATTATCTATTGAAATTATTACACTTTTAAAATAAAATAACAAAAATACTAAAAAACTGAACGTTACAATTTTTTAATAATTTATAAATCTAATAAGTTAATCATATAAATGTAAGTTATTTATATTATTTCATTTATTAGTAACTGAAGGCAAAATATACAACTTTTTCCATTTGATGATAGATGGCGCTGTTTTTAATACGAAATCGGTGTAGTTTCAAATTATTTTACCAAGATTATAACTATATTTTAAACTTTATTTACAAATATGGTAATATGGTATTTATTCGAAAAACACTCGTCATTCCGCCTATAACTAAGATACAACAGAAAATTAACATCTAAAGGAAATTAATATACTTAACCTTCCTTTTTTGAAGTTCCGTAATCGGATAAAAGTAGCCTATACGTTGCCCCGGGTTACTGACTACCTACATACAAAATTTCATGTAAATCGGTTCAGTAGTTTTTGCGTGAATCCGGAATACACAGACAGACAGACAGACAGAAAGACAGACAGACAGACAAAAATTCTAAAAACCACTAATTTGGCTTCAGAACCCTTTATTTAGTCCCCTGGACTTGTTTTTTCAAGAATATATTAGAATTACAGACACGACTTTTCTACAGATTTATTATATGTATAGATGTATAGATAAGAGAGCTTCTGATACCTACGGATAAAAACGGGACAGATTATAAACAGTTGAACCTTAAATAATGACACCATTCGTCTATATTCGTATAATCTGTTTTTTTTTCTGCCGACTTCCAAAAAGGAGACGGTACTCAATTCTTAAAACTTTGTACTGGGTGGACCGATTTCGACGATTCTTTTTTTATATGAAAGCTGATAATTCTCGTGTGGTCCCATATGAATTTGATCAAGGTCAGATCAATGGTTGTTGAGTTATTCTTAAATAATTGAAGAAATCTTATATTGAAGTCGGCTATACAAAATTTTTAATTTTTAATTATTATATAGTAGTAAGAATGACCAATCCACACAGTATACCTGTAAATAGATGCTGTAGCCTGTTGAGATCTTTTGCAATCATCAAGAATCAAAATGCAGATGCGTTGTCACCCATAGAGAACTAAAATGGAATGTCTCATTACCAGCACAAACTATACAGGTGTTCTCGTCACCTTATGAAACACAGCGTTATTATGGTGCTATTTCATGTAAGTAGATATTCAGCGTGGCACTTCCCCTTCATAGCCAGCATTACGCGCGACTCTACCACATAAAAAAATATAATATATTATAATCTGTTATCAAGCCGTAGTAGCTCAGATGGTTAGCGCTCGCTGTAAATTTCACGGTACAAGAGCAACCCGGGTTCGATCCCCGCCGGCACCAATGAAATTGTTTATTGTAATTTTAAGAGTTGATTTACCACGTGCTCACCAGTGAAGGAAAACATTGTGAGGAAACCTGCATGTCTTAAAACTAAGAAAAAACATCCTTCGAAGACATGTGAAATCCGCCAAAAGCACTGGGGCAGCGCGGCGGACATTTCCTTGCCCTAAAACCCTCTCAGAAATGAGAGGAGGCCTGTGCTCAGCAGTGGGACGTATATAGGCTGTAACTTAACTTTATAATCTGTTATACTAACACTACTCATACTTACCATCCATTTGGATTCAGTTTCTCCTTTTCCCAGTCCTTGACTTCACTGCTGTTCTTCATATTAAACTTCACTTTTCAAGTATATTAAGGGTCATAAAATAGTGTAACACTGTTATTTTCACTTAAGTATTGCACAAAGTCTACAAAGTATCTCTCATAATAATATCTACCTATATTATGCTTCAAACAATAAATAATGAATGAATATGACACATTATATTAATAGAATAGAATAATTTATATTCAATATAGATCACATGTAATTTTTCTTATTAAAAGTTATTTTTTTCTTTACCACAGGTTCTGAAAAAAAAATTAGGTTGAGCGGTAACAAAAACTACGGAAACCTATCCCATACAAAATCTTTGCTCTTTGATTACATTCTTGGCACTATAATATGGGGCGTAGTGTACACAAGGAGTGTCGTGTTCATTGTGACATCATTTGTCGATATATGAAACTGTGTGTAAGATGTATTAACGCCTGTATTCCGTCTACAACACATATGATTCAACCGGTTCGTTCCGATTTTTAGCAGATTTGGTATATGTTTCTGGACTATCAGTTTCTGTAAAAAGGAAATGAACCAAAACAAAATTGGTTCCTTTTTTTCCTTTGGGAAACGAACCAAAAGCAAATATGCAAGAATGGAATAAACGTAATCTTGTGGACGCATATACACCTAACCTATTTTATGTGAACAATGAGACAGGCGGCAAAGTTAAAGGTGAGAGAAGTCTGGTGTAAGCAGCGGCACGAAAGTCTAGTGGTGACCGTTATTGCGCATAAGTCGCGCTGATTGGCTCGTTCGTATCGTTTGCACGCGCTGATTGGCTCTCCAGTCGCATTCGTGCAATTCAATTCGTGCGCGTCCCCTTCACGTTTCGTTCAACGCTAGACTTAAGCGTTTATTACATTATACAATTTTTAGAAAATCTAATTAGGAAGTTGGAAAATATAATCGTAGTTAGAACAGATAGGATCCGATTTAGTTAAAGTTGGAGGTCGCGACCGCTCTACTTTCTAAATTGTCTACAATTTAGGACACTATATTCTTATTAGACAGTTATTTTTCTCAATGACGATTAAGAAAAATTTTCCCCACAACAGGACAGGCCGATAGCTAGAAGTGGATTTTTCTGATGAGAAGATGAATGATAGGTTGCTTTCTGAAGATGTTTGATAAATATATCGTTTACAATTATTATTACTTTTATAATGCAATACTAAGGTCGGAGCCGTTTAGAGTTGAAATATAGAATACCTAGTTATGGGCGAGTATGCGACCGTGTAAGAACCGGCGGTGTAAGAATAGCCAATACTCCATATCGTTCAGTAGATGTCGTAAGAGACGACAAAGGGAATAAGAAGTAGGAGATTATGAAATGGGCAGCTGCATTTCCTAACTGATAAAAATACAACAATAATAATAAAAACTGCATTTTCTGCATTGCCAAGCATGGCGCAACTATGGTAAAGCCACGTACACATGGTAAATCAACACATAAAAATGCAATTTTCAGGGGTACACAACGTTTTTAATAATAAACCGCGCTATAAGGGATCCGTCCCGGCTTCGCCTGGATAGGATCTATTAATGTCAAGTTTTTCAGATAAAATGTAGCCTAGATCCCTACTGGAATTGTTTTCCACATGCTCGTAAAGTTTCATCACAATCGGTTCAACCATTCCGAAGATGAACTCGGACAGACAACATGTTCACAGACTGCAGACTTCCCAGAGCGTCGGTTCTTCACGTCAAGATCGTCCTCGCCATTACATCAGATTTGATACACCACAAATCCTCGCAAAAGAACACCGATTCCTACCAAGGATGATACGCGAGGCTATTGAAATTAAAAAACATCCTAATTTCAATAGAGAAGATGGACGGGTGCTGCCATCTGCTTGGGATCCTATAATTAACAAAATTAAATCCAAACCCAAGCATACGACTGCAAGACTTTAAGATACTGTAAGTTCATTCTGCGTAAATCGAACCAAAAATTAATATTAAAAACTGAAGATAGCCGGGCTAACTGTGACATCGGGACGTCTAACATCTCAGTCCGTGACCATGGGTTGCTGTAAAGCACCCGAAACGTCGGAAGTTAAAATAGTAAATTAAATGCGATAAAAATCCGTAAAAAAATAGTTTTATTCAATGTGTAGTGTTCGCGTAAATATAAGAAATCATTATGGTTATTTACGTCTTAGTAGCATGCAAAAAAATAACTCCCTGAGCTAGATTATAGAAGCCAGTTTCCACATTACAGACAGACTTTAGTTTTATTTTTTATATGTATAGATGTATATAGATTTAAAAGCTTTAAGGCGAGCGTATTAATTTATAGTTATTAAGGTATAGACGATTCAATATCTTTGTACTTATCCTATCATATATGGATATCCATCCATTGCAGCCTATAAAAGTCTACTGCTGAACATATGCCTCTCCCATAGATTACCTCATCGAGACGATTTTGCCATAGTTTACACGCTTGGCAGGAGGGTTGGCAGCTGCAGACTTTTATTATCTTAAGTTGTTATCATCAGAAAAATGCTGCTGCCCATCTTTTCTTTTCATTTCCCTCTGCCGCCTCTTACGACAAAATAGGCGGTCGCTCAGACCCGTCCAACTACAGGCCTATCGCCATCACCTCCTTGTTCTCCAAAATAATAGAAACCATTATAAGCTGCCAAGCTCATGAGGTTCCTTGAGGATTACCAGCTGATTAGTGACTACCAATACGGTTTTCGTCAGGGTTTATCAGTTGGTGATCTTCTGGTCTACCTAAATTATAGATGGACGGAGGCAGTAGAGTCCAAGGGGGAGGCATTGGCCGTTAGTTTGGACGTAGCGAAGGCCTTCGATCGGGTTTAGTACAATGCGCTTCTTTCGAAGCTCCTTTCCTATGGGCTCCTCGAGAAATTGTGCAATTGGATCACCAGTACTATCACCAACGCTGTTTTTCGGGAAAACGTTGCCGATTACCGGAACAAACTTGTGTCTGAAGTCGAGTTTTTGTTGAACAAAGTATCGGATTGGGGACGACTAAATCTATTCCAGTTCAATCCCCAGAATACACAAGTTTGCGCGTTTGCCGCTAAAAAGAATCTCTTTGTTGTATCTTCTCAGTTTCAAGGCACTCCCCTTGCTGCCTCAGCTAGCATCGAATCCTCGGCGTCGACATATCGAATAGTGTGCAGTTTCGTGGTCACTTGGAAGGGAAGGCCAAATTAGCCTCTAAAAAGCTTGGCATGCTCAGCAGAGCGGGACAGTGTTTCATGCCGGCACATCGCTTGCAACTTTACAAAACGCAAGTTCGGCCTCACATGGAATACTGTCGTCATCTCTGGGCCGGGGCACCGTGCCATCTCCTTCAACTTGAACTCACCCAACGGAGAGCGGTTCGAATCGTCAATGACCGAGTTCTTTCTGATCGGCTTGATTCACGGGCGCTGCGACGGGATGTTGCATTTTCTATCGCATCTACCACGGGGAGTGCTCTGAGGATTGTTCGGATTAATTCCAGCCGCCAAGTTTCACAAACGCACATCGCGTCAAAACTCAGGATACCATCCACACCATCTGGATGCTTGGCGCTTCAACACTGTGCGTTTCACAAGGAGTTTTCTTCCTCGTACAACCTCTCTATGGAATTGTATATTTCCGGAGCGATACGACTTAGGGAACTTCAAGAAAAGACCGTATTCCTTTCTAAAAGACCGGCAACGCACCTGCAATGCCCCTGATCTTGCAGTTGTAGGTGGTAGTCACTTACCATCAGGTGAGCCGCATTCACATTTGCGCCATATTCTATAAAAAATATTATGGTGTAGTGGACATTGTGTGTATTATGTTATGTATATTATATATTATGTTATTATGTATATTATATATTGTGTGTCGGGATCGTGCCAAATGGAAGTCCATAATCTCTGCCTACCCCTCTGGGTGACAGGCGTGAGTGTTTATGTTTTTATGGATATTCTTATAACGCCACTACACGGTACATATAATAGGGTTGATTGACATAAAAACAGGGTTCTTTGAGAAAATATAATTAATAGTAATTTGTGTTACCTATCTTCCAATGTGTACATTGTATATCTAACTTTAATCTCGACGTCACACTCGCTCACTTTGGGGGCAAGTGGCACATGAGTAAATAAGTGTTGACTTATGTCCATGAGGTTTTACATTACTAAGACTCATTATTTTCGAGCAATATAAACAAGATGTATCATTGTATTCAGTCCAACGCACTTTTAAACGTATTGAACATGTGTGGGGTTGCCATATAATTTTTGAGAAAAAAAAAGAGCGTGAACGTGCGCGCGCGTATGTGTGTGTGTGTGTGTGTGTGTGTGTGTGTGTGTGTGTGTGTGTGTGTGTGTGTGTGTGTGTGTGTGTGTGTGTTGGGGAAAATATGCCTGTAGCTTTTACGGAAACACTGCTTTTATCCTATATCCAGTTTTATCACTGTCATTGGGACTACTTTCTTCGCATTCAAATTAGAGCCATTTTCTACCGACTTCAAAAATGAGACGGTACTCAATTCGACTGTATGTTTTTTTATGTCTGTTACCTCATAACTTTTTAATGGGTGAACTGATTTCTATGATTCCTTTTTTATTTGAAAGCTGGTGCTTCGCATGTGGTCCCATATAAATTTAATTAAGGTCTGATCAATACTTTTTAACTTATTCTTCTCTAATTGCTTATTTTCTAGTTTTGGAATCAACATAGTAAACATTAAGGATTTCCATCGACACACTTCTTAAGCCCACAGCTGGACATAGTCCATTTTAAGAATGCACCAGATGGTGATTATTACTTGGAAGATAACATGTTTTTGTTTAAATTCTATTTTTGAAAACGACATAGTATAAATTAAGAATGTTGTTGATTGGAAAAATAAAATCAAAAAATTTCAGATAAAGTTTGTTAGAAATCTGGAACTTAAATTAAGCCGTAGCCTGTATTTTAGAGCAGATCCCCGACTTAAGCAAAACAAAAGAATATTTATTCGAGTTAATTAAGAATTTTCCCAAAG